AAGATCGTGTTCCATGAAGATATTTTGTAAATTTCCTACTGTAAATATATTAAAACTTAATTTTTGATTAGTAATATGCATTGCTAAGAACTTCATTTGGACAACTTTAAAGATGATTTTCTCAATATTTAGATTTTTTTGCACCCTCAGATTCCAGATTTTCAAATATTGTCCTATCCTAACAAACCATACATCAATGGAAAGATTATTTATTCAGCTTTCAGATGATGCAATTGACACTTAAGACTGGTTTTGTGGTTCCGGGTCACATATATTCTCTGCAATATAACATTAATGTATGTTTTTAATGTATGATGCTGCTTTTAATGATAGTTTTTAGTAACAATAATGCGGTACTGAGGGCATCGTGCATTGTAGGTCCTCACATGCATACTAAACAAAAAAGGTTTAGAATTATTACGCTTGGTCTGTTTCACTGCCTCTGCATAAACACGTATTTTTGCACAAAACCTGTGTGAACATTTTCATTTACAAACTGTAATCAACAAGTTCACACTTTTATTCTACATGTAGAATGTGCTTGACTTGCTGGCCTTAGAAACGTGTGAATCAAAGTGTTTTTTTTTATAGATATGATTATTATTATTAGAAACTGGGTTGCTAAGTGACCTTACAATATGTCTTTCTTATTTCACAGCAACATCATGAGCGCGTCAGAGCCTGATCTGGGCTTCTTCATAAAGATGTTTATTGTGTTTCATCTGGTTTCGATAATGACACACTTTGCTTTAAAGGGCTCATGCATTGCATTCACAATGTTTCTAATGTTCCTGGAGGTGAACTTATAATGCTGGTAGGATTTTTACATCAAAAGCAGTCATAATTGGAAATAAATGGTTTAAGTTTAGGGGTTGTATAAGGGTTGTAGATTAAATGCCCACTGCTAAATGCCCATTGGTAACATCTTTGCATATGGAATAACTGTTATGAACAAGAGTTCAGTAAAACTTACAGTATGTTTTTATATTACAGTCACATCTTACATGTCAAAAGATCAGTAAAATTTAGATTTCTCAATTTATTGCTTTAACTGAAGATCAAGAACAAATCCATGTGCAGTTGTGTTTGTGCATTAGTTTTGTATGAGAAACATTTCTGCATGCTTAAGTACACAACTTGTGTACAGTTATTAGTGAATGAGACCCTATATATATATATATATATATATATATATATATATACAGTACATAGTTCAAAAAGACAGCCTTTGGCTTTAAGACAGATGAAACATAATGTGTGCAGCCTGCTTTGGCCTTTAATTATACATTTACATGTAACATTAGTTAAGTAGTGCTTAAGAGAGTTAATCACTGTCATGCACAGAAAGCAACTGTCAAATGCTGTGCGTCTTAATGTTTTAGTCTTTTCTTAGTCTTTAAAAAGCGCCAGGCACGGTTATGAGTTCTCTTGGAGGAGAGTTTTGTCACTTTGGCTCACAACTTTGCATGACGGGATGTGTGTGTGTGTGTGTGTCTTCATTTATCTGGCATCCATGGGGTGCCACTGACAGTCTGTGCCAGGGCCGCTTCTCGTTGGTTGCTACGGTGACAGCGCACCTGTTCCTAGCAGACAGATGGCTGTCAATCACCCACAGCAATGGCTGCCACAGTGACTTCACATACACATGGCGCGTGCAGATTTATCATCACTGCATGATCATGTTTGATCATTAACATGACATTGTTGGCAGTTTACCTCTCAAAATGTCTTTTTGTAAAAAGGGGACAGAGTACAGACTGGAGACAGAGGCACAGTCTTGTGGTTTGGTTTGATCTGTAATATTTGCATGGCTGTTCAGTGCTGTGTTTATGAAGGTCTTTGAGTCACTAAACGAGACTGAAGGAGGTTTTACATAAATGCACAAGATATTGTACTGTTTGCATGACTAAACAAGACACATTCCAGGAGTAGGTGCAAAAAAATGAGCTTGATGCTCTGTATAAAGTCAATTTTTTGTTATTTTTCTAAAGGTTAAACGCCACCTACACATGAAAAACATCTGTTCTTGTCAGCAGGTTAAACTAAATATTATATGAGAGGTTTTGTTTTATTTTCCATTTCTAGAAACCTGATGGCAACATTTATGGCACATTTAGAAATCCACTTTGAAAGAGTTTTAATTCCCAGTTGGTCTGATTTCATTTTGTAGCAGTAATCATTAAATAAAAGTACACAACTTAAACAAAATAATTCTGTTTGTTTGTTTGTTTATTATCTTATTAGTTTTATTTATTTTTTTATTTTTTTAATGCACCAGAATGGATAAATCAGCAATCCCCAACATTAATTTCATTTAGCCTAAATTAATACTGGGGATTTCCAGTCTGGAACCAGTGGTGGTTTGTAGTTGTTAATATATTCATTGAACTATAATACATTTGATTCTTATAACAGATTGAGGGTTTAATGGTTGAACCACAATCTGTGGAGATTCAATTGATACATATGGGTTCTCCAACATCTGTAATAGTTCTCGCTCTAAAAATATGGGATCTGTGTCTTCATTGCTTTCTAAAACTACTTGCACCTTATTTGTGGAAAGTGCCACAAAGCATAGTCTAGCCATCACTCTGAGAATCGCCTTATTTGTCCCTCCTCACTGTCTCCTCTCTGTCTCTCCAGTCTGGCTTACACATGCAGGGCGCTCAAGGCTGCGTTCCATGCCACTGCAATTCATTCGGATCGAAGTCGTTTGATTGTGACGAGAGCGGTCAGTGTCGCTGTCAGCCTGGTGTGACGGGACAGAAGTGTGACCGCTGCGCTCCCGGACACTTCAGCTTTCAGGAAGGCGGCTGCACACGTAAGAATTCACCTCCAAACCCTTTGTGCCTTTGTAATTCAGTCCAGATCCACCCGTGCATTTGGATTTTTATTTGTACAAAATTCAGTATTTGTACTGAACAACAGTAATTCCATAGGATAGGAAAAGCTTTAAAGGTACAGATCACTAAAGAGTCAACTTTCTGACTTTTTAAAGTCCTCCTCATTTAATTTCAAGCCATATACTGTTGTTGTTGTTTTTTTCCTGTGCATTTTGCAAAAGTCAATCTAAACTCTTCTTTAATTTACAGTAATGTCATAAGTGTGTCATGTTTATTTGTTTATTTGATAGGGGCAACGCAGGTTAGTAAACATTAGTATAAAATGAATGTTGTTTGTTTATTTTTATTCATTTATTTAATTATTTGTTTGTTTTATTAATTTGTATTTATTGTTTTATTATAATTGTTTTAAATGCACCAGGATGAGTAATGGCAATTTAGTCTAAATTAATGTTGGGGATTGCTACTTTGGAACCAGTGGTGGTTTGTGGTTTTTAATAATTTAATTTTATATATTATATTAGCAGCATTTCTAATTTACATCCATATGTCCCTATATCTTAAACTATGCTCCGATTTACCACATATAAGATACCACATGTATCCTTATCAAATGATCTGAACCTCTATCCACATTCATTTTATAGCTCTTATGCTCTTTCTGTTTTAAAAGACACTTAATAATATTCTGCAACATTATTGAACTGCAGTGACACTATCGGATTGTTTGAACTGAATCAAGCTGAGTAATGACACTATTGTCTTCTGTAGAGCTGCTTTACAGCTGAAATTGAACTCACTACTGTAAATGAAGCATAACAGATGTAAGTGAAACATGGAACTGCTTGATCTATGGAAGAGCAAAAGGTTGTGCGCCAACCGATCAGATATCAGGCAATGGCTTTTAGATTCCAGCTCAGTTCCTGAATGTGGATGTCAACAAGCCTGACCTGTAAGTGCTACAGTTTTCATCTGCGGTGTTCATTTCATTAAGAATAATGTAATTCTCTGTCGGGATGGTGTGTAAATTTGCCCTTCTCTTTCCAGCCGGAGCGTCTTCAGTCACGCTATCACACTGATATTACCACAGCAGAGAGGAGAGCCGGCGCTGACATTTAGAACAGGTGCTCAGCTGCGCTCCGCAATTAACCTGCTCTCTGTTTCTGTCTGTCTCGCAGCGTGCCAGTGTGCCCATGTGGGAAATAACTGTGATGCTAACACAGGTCAGTGTATCTGTCCGCCCAACACCGTGGGAGAGAGATGTGACAAATGTGCGCCCAACCACTGGGGTCACGACATCAGCAGCGGCTGTAAGGTATGGCTTATTCTCCTCTCCTCCCGCCGTCACGGCTTCACTCTGTCTGCTCTGCCTGTGTATATTTATCTTCTGCTGAAATATCATTATTATTCATCCTCTGTAAAGTCATGTCGAATCTTTGAGTTAATGTCGCAGAGCAGCAGAGAATGGAAGGTGAGCGTGGAAATCAGCACAGCGTCTTTATTGCTAAGTTACCATCTGAATTCAGTTGAATCCATGGAACTATTCAAACATATACACAAACATATAATGCGGTGTTAAATCATTTACAGTTTTTCACCATACATTATATGGTAAGGTAACTTACAGTTAACAGGTTTTTACTGTTGCATGCGTCAGTACACTGAATTAACTGTATGTATGTGGTATCATATAATAAACTGACTGCTTAGGTGCTGATTACCAGTATGTTTGTTTTTTGTAAGTCCCAGATCACCCCTCTGAGACCTATAATATCTGCAAATGTGACTTTTTGGTGAAAGTGTTATTGAATGTGATTCATAAGCATTGTTTACCAGTGCATATTATCCAATGGCACATACGTCACACAGGTTAACATCTTCTCCTTACATAAAGCAATCTCTGGTAAAACTTTACGTCTTACCAAAAGGTTGGTAGCCATATAAACTTTATTGTCCCTGTGGCATACAGAGTTTGTAAGGAAGAACAGGAAGTATCATCTAATATAACAATAGTATCAGATGTTGTGTTTCTGAAAAAAATTATATCTAACAGAAGCATATAATATCAAACAAAGCAACCAGGCCCAAAACAGAGCCTTGAGGTACCCCGCAGGTAAAAGGTGTAGAGAAAAAAAAAAGAGTTATTCCCAATCTCAATGGAAAAAGCTCATGCCTTAAGGCAGGACGAGAAGCAGCCAAGGGCAGTGCTGAGAACTGCATTTTATTCTGACTGATTTTCTATTGAGTGGGCAAATGGTGCTCAGCCTTGCCAGCCCTGATCTGACTTTAAAAAACTTAATGGTTCTGAATGGATCCTTCATTTTTAGAAGTGTTCAGTCACATGTAGGGAAAGTGAATGCCATTTTATGTAAATGTTATGTTATGCATAACATGAATAATATGAATAATATGATAATATGAATTGTTTATGTGGAATTTTCTCTTCTCTGTAGCTGTGCGGCTGTAACTCATTGGGGTCTGTGGCACAGCAGTGTAATGTGAACACTGGCTGCTGTATGTGCCATGAGCAGTTCAGGGGCGAGAAATGTGATGAGTGTAAGCTGGGTTACAGAGACTTCCCACAATGCATTTCCTGCCAGTGCTCGGTAGCAGGCTCGTCACTGTACACCTGCGATGCAGAGTCTGGGCTGTGCTGCAGAGTGGGCAGTGCTCTTGCAAGGTAATGTCCTAGAGCTCGAAACCCATCTTTGATTCAACCAATATAGCCACTGATCTACTAATAGTGTTGTACAGTAACTTGTGATCAAAGGGATTTTTCATCAGAACTGTCATATCATAATGATTATTAGGGGTATATAAATGCACTGACAATGAATTACTGTATAATGCTCCAATCTGGTAAAACTGCTGTTTCCACATGACAGCTGTAAGAGAAGCTGCCCTGGGCTGCATTTCCCAAAAGCATCGTAAGCCTAGGTAGATCATGAAGATCACTGATGCTGATGGTTTATATGATCTGCTTGGCTTACAATTTTTTTGGTAAATGCAGCCCCCAGCACACAACACTAATGTGAATGTGTGTGTGTTCAGGCCAATGTGGAGGGAATGAAGTGTGACCGCTGTAAGATGGGCTCTTTCGGCCTCAGTCACAGGAATCCGCTGGGCTGCAGTCAGTGCTACTGCTTCGGCTTGAGCAGCACATGTATGGAGGCCACGGGACTCATCCGTATGAGGGTGAGTAAACACACAAGTCATATGATGGCACTTTTTCATCAATAAGATTCAACATTTTGTTTTGTTACTTTCTAAAGCAACTGTTTTACATCAGTTTTAAACACCTTCTGAAATATCTTGAACTGATAGTAGATTTATTGAAGAAAACTTCACATTCTAAATTATTTCCTTTATATTTAATTACTGAACTGAATGTGATTTTGCCTTTACATTTTATCCAATGGCACATATGACACACAAGTTAACATCTCTTCCTCACATAAAGCAGTTTCTGGTAAAACTTTGCTTACAAAAAGGTTGATGGCTATTTAACTGTTAATGTCTCTGTGGCAAACAGAGTTTGTAAAGGAGAACTCAGTTTTAGTAGAAGCTGAATATTGTCTAAAAATAGTATGAGATGTTGTGTTTCTAAAAATGTATACCTAACAAGAGAATATATATATATATATATATGTATATAATTAAACCGGGCCCAAAACGGAGCCTTGAGATACACCGCAAGTGATAGGTGCAGAGGAAGAAGAGTAGTTCTTAATTTTCGCTTCAAATTTAATTACTCAACACTCAATATTGTTTCTCATTTGAACAACACCATTAAGGGAGCATTGGATTTGAAAATAGCAAGACTTTAAAAAAAATATATAAATCTGTGACACCTTAGAAGGGACCAAATTTAGGTGGAAAGAGAAGTAAATAATCTCATTGCAGTTTCTTAATTTTTACACTGTTACGAGCCCCTTTAACAGTCTAGGGGTCAAAAGAGGTGTAACAAAAATAGCGGGGGGAGGCTGAGAGAACTGCTGTCTCCAAATCCCAGGGCAGGTAACACAGAAATGCTCAGCAACACCAGTTTCAAAATTAAAGCAAAGTATTTTATTGAACAGAATGTGGGAAATACTTAAAAGAAGGCTTCAGGAGGGGAAAAGGCCAAAACAATAAACCAAAAGGTACTCTTACAAGGGTTTTAAGAAATACATTTCCTATCAAAATAAAATAAAATAAAATACAGAGACCCTTCCCTGACTCCCTCTGTAATTCAAACACAGGAGAAAAAGATAATTTACAAAATAAATAGCATCCACCTTCCTACAAAATTTTCCCACTGAAACAAGTTACAAAGCAGCTGAAACACTCTGCTCAACACACTTAACAGCTTTACCTTAACACTACAAGCAAAGCACAGTATACTATACACATACACAGGAAACACAATCGTTAGTCAAATCATACAAAATAAATAAAAATAAACGTATACGTCCCTATGGACATAACACATACAGTATTATACTGTGTCAGGTTCAACTATTAACCATTCAATGCTGTTAGTCAAAAGGTTTTTTTTTTCTTTAAAGGGGTGGTTCATTGCGATTTTACTTTTTAAACGTTAGTTAGTGTGTAATGTTGCTTGTCTATATTGCTTATCAATTTGAGCCCGATTGAGACGCAGAGGATATTAGTGAAGAGTATCATGCAGAACCTGTGCAAGCACGGCTTTTAATGGTAGGCCTACGATTTGTGTTTGTTGTTGTCTCATACTTTTAGATACGCTGTTATTTGTAAATGCTACTGCTTCTGTTAGCTTTTAATATACGGTTTTATTCTGATTAAAGCTTTATTACAGTTTGGCAACTGCACCCCATGTATAACGCTTCTCATAGCTATAGTATGTGAAAATAAGTGTATTCACTGAGCTGATGATCAGAATGAGAGAGAGAGAGAGAGAGAGACAGATGCAGAGCGTGTGCAGAGCAGGGCGAGGCCAGGAACAGGATGAGAACGCTGCTTTAGAACATTGATTTTGAAACTTGTGAATCCATTAGAATCGTTAGAAGACAGAATCGCGATTCATATATGAATAGATTTTTACATGCACCTCTAGTTTTCTCTTCCTCTTCTCTAAAGCAGCACAACATGGCCTTGCCCCCTTTGTTGCATAACTCAGGTTTGTCTGGGTTTGTGATGTCACAAACCCGGGAAGTAACTCGTTGTAGTCCCTACCAGCCGTTTTTGTAGGCATTAAACTGCCAGAATTTTAAAAGACGATATCTCCGTTTGCATTGAACTTTCAGCTTCGTAACTTTGCAGATATTGTTTATGATCAAACAGCAACATTACACACTAACATTAAAAAAGTGAAATC